ATACAGTGGAATTACTCACATGAAGTTAAGAGCTGGAGGCGGGTGTGGGAAGCAAGGATGATGAACCTCAACGAGTGTTCATGGTACACCCCCAGGGGCCCCGCCCTGAGCTAAGCACAAAAAATACCCCAGGGACAACATGCCTAGAACCTGTATGTAAAAGTTCATGGTTTAGTAGAAGAAACTAATATGTAATTACAACTAACATAATATGCATTAAAAACAAATATATATGTATATTCTTCAGTCCTCTCTTTGCCTGAGAATCCCTCCCATATTTCCAAATGCCTGTTCGGGTGCCTTTACCAGGAAGCTGGCACCCCTGGACAAACACATCATATCCTTCTTACCCTAATATGTATATGTGCACACACACACACATACATGTATGGTAGAAATATAATATAGAGGAGGTAGTAATTTGTAGCCTACGATCCACACCCAGTCCATCTGTAAATTCTCTAAATACTACTTTAAAATACATCCCAAGTCTATCATATGTTTCCATGTCCATTCCTTATCCCTCCCCTGGACAACAGCAAGAGCCCCTAACTGTTCCCCAGAGTCCATTCTCGCCCTACTGATCTGTGCTCTGTTTTGGCAGCACTACCATCTGCTGACACATGGATTAGACCATAGCGCTGCCCTGTTGGGGACCCTGTGCTGGCTTCCCCGTCACTGCAGGTACAGTCCATACTTCTTACCATGTCCAGAAATACCTTGAGGCCTCTCTTGGCTTTTTCCAACCTTAACCTCAGCTCCTGCCATTCTTCCCTTAGCCCACAGCTTCGGCCAACACGCCTTCTCTCCGTTCGCAAACACGCCGCACTCCTTCCCCTGTGGGGCTTTTGTACAAGCTGTCCAGTAGCCAAAGGTGCCTCCTCCCTTGTCTTTGGCATCTTCTTCTTATCCTTTGGGTCTCATCTCAGTTTGAATTTCACCTTCTCAAAGAGACTTTCCCAGATCATCCTAAACAAGTGTCTTCCCCACCCCCCCTGCAGTTGGTCTCTATTTCTACAACATGTTCATTTTCTACATGGCTCTTATCACGATTTGCAACTACACATTGACCAATTCATTCACTCACCCAACACAAGGTATTAAGCCCTGACTATGTGCCAGGCACTTTTCTAGGAAATAAATACGTAGTGAGGAACAAAACAGGCAACCTCCCTGCTCTTGTGGAATGGGCATTCTACAAAGAAGATATGGACGATAAGCAAATAAGTACATGAGCATGGTAGCTACTGAACAACTAGTAGTTTGCTGAGAATTAAAGCAAGGTGATATAACACAGAGGGATGGTCAGCAATGGCCTCTGAAAAGGTGGCATTTAAGTTGAGATATGAATGATAAGAATACTACTCTGCAAACACCAGAGGAAAAGGAAGCCAGACAGAGAGGATAGCTGATACAAAAGCTCTAGGCTGGCTGGCCTAAGACCTCAAAAGTAAATACAGCAACAAAATAAATAAATAAATAAATGTGACTTGATTAAACTATTAATTAAAAAAAAAAATTCTAGGCTAAAATAGCCTGTTATCATTATTAAAGGAATGATGATAATGACAATAACCAAAAAGGAAAAAAGAAAAAAGAAAAGAAAAGGCCATGATACTCTTGCAATATCCAGGTGAGAGAGAATGGTGGTTTGCCCCAGTGAGATGGCAATCGAGAGGGTGGGGGGGACAGATGAGGCATATGCTTTAGACGTCAACAGATCTCACTGATGGGTGCAGAAGGTCAAGGAGGACCAAGGAGGATTTTAGCTGTTTATTTTGTTTCCTCCACTCGATCGTGAGCTTCACCAGAACAAGGAGCATCTTGATTTTGTCGTCCTCACATGTGATACAAACTCCATGAACACAGTTGAATGAATGAATGTATGACCAAACAAAACCATGAAAGAAGGGACAGGGTGTTGTCAGGGCAGAGGTAGGGATGCCTGTGCAAGGTTGAGAAGGGTGAGCTGAAGTTTGTCAGGTTGGCAAGACAAGGAGAAGAATTGGGGAGTAAGGGAACAGCATGTGCAAAGGAGGCAGGAAACATACAACTTGAGGGAACAGTGCCATTGGAGAACTTGACCTGCCCAGGGTAAATTGGCAGCCGTATAACTAGCCAGACTCCAGAGACATCAGAATGGGGCATGCACTATATTCTCTTTGTCATATCCTGATACAAAGACAAATAATGAAAGCTCCAAAGAAGGGATGAAGGAGGGAGAAAAAATCTAAATCCAGAAATACTGGATTTAGATACTGATCATACTGATTCCTACAGAAGGTAGAAAGCTGTCAGTTACAGCCCTTGAGGAAATGTTAGGATCTCATTGATGTCTAACAGCACCCCCCCAACATCTAAGACTTCCCTTGATTTTTGATGCATGGTGTCATGCTGTCTTTGGGGAAGAAGCATTTGATCTAAAGGACATATTAGAAGAAAACAGCCTTGTATGTCCTCTGGGACGAACCCAGAGGGGATCTGAGGCAAAGTCAAGGACAAAAGATTCCCCCAGAGCAAAGCAACCCGTGTTTTCACTTAAATCATGCCATGCCCAGCCCAGCCTGTTGAGGAAATGAACATGCACCACACAGGATGTCTCTTAGAAACAAGAGCTTAATAGAATATAAATTAAAGTCATAAAGATCAAAGATACACAGAGAGAAAAAGACAGTGACAAAGAAGAAAGGGAAAAAGGGGGGAAGGAGAAAGAGAGAAAAAGGAATGTAGAAAGAAAGGGAGAGAGAGGGAATGAGGACATAGGAAGAGAAAACCAGATCAGCAGTGGAAAGGAGTGTGAGTGATTCTATTTGTCAAACGGAAAGAAGGTAGATGTTTTTGTTCTTTGTAGGTTAATATGTAAATGACATTCTGATTTATTAGCGGTCTCCAGCAGATGAGGTGATGATTAGCACATTTCCATATTTATAGAAAAGCAACACTAACTTTCTGGATTTATAGAAAATCAGCTCTTCACAAATAGCAAATTGTGCTATTATCGACATATGGTTTTCTATAAACAGAACTGAGGTAATTATCCCTGGGACAATTTGTTGGTGGGCTCCTTTTGAATATTAACCACATTGGAAGCCCTTTTCTGCCTCACAGATTTTAAAGAGGAGGGGCCACCAGATACCCCAGGCAATTAATTAGGAATCTGACACCAAAGACAGGAGCCCGGAAGGAAGATGGGAGGCCTTACCGCATGGCGGTGTGAGACCACAGGTCCCGAGCTCTGACCCCACATTCCTGCAGCCCTGGGCAAAGTAATCAACCTCCCCAGCAGTGTTTATGTGGCTAGAACTGGGATAACACAGTCTCCAAGTGTTGTCAAAATAATTAAATGAGAATATGTGCAATAGCACCCAGAACCTAGTAGATGCTCAACAAATGTTAATTCTTTTTTTCCTTCCTCGAGTTTTTACATTATCCTAAAAAGACACTCGTGAATAAAGTTTTTTAATCTCTTTTCTTTTACATTGGTCCATAAGCTATTTATTCTGTATTATGATCCACTAGATGTATACATGTCTTTATTTAACTGGAAAAAAAGTTTCTTGATGCAGTAAGTCACCTTCACCACCTACAATCCTCTATGATATTTTCTATTCTATCCTTTGTTGTTGTTCAAAATTTTGCTGGTGATCTATACATTGATTTTTCAGACCTACTATTGGGTTACAACATGCAGCTTGAAAAATACTGTGATATAAGAAGGTAGGAACCATATTTCGATTTGCTCACCACTGTAACCCCAGCACAAACATATAATGGATGCTCAATAAAGCATCTTGAATTATTAAAAGAATAAATAAATGAATGACTCTCGCCAAAACTAAATTAATGCTCCCTTTTAAACTCCCCATCTTGTTTTGCACACTCATTTTGTATTAAGCCCTGTGTTGACTGCTAAAAAGATAGAAAAGTGTCAGGCATGATACTTGCTTTTAAAGATCTTCCTATCTAGATGAAGAGAAAAAATATTTGGAAAATTGTTTTTTAAAGACTGGACAGTGTGGAACACATATGTACGTGTTGAAGAAAAAGAGTGGCCAGCCGGGGCTGGCACAATCAGGGAAACTTCTTGAAACCAGGACTTTGAACTTGGCTTTGCAATATGGATAGATCTCTCATCCTTCCACTCACCCATTGCCCAGGTCTGTGGTTCTCAAACTGTAGTGGGTGTTAAAACACACAGTGCTGGGCCCACTCCAGAGATTTTGACTTAGTTAGGCTTGGGAGGGGTCCTGAGAATGTACCTTTCTAACAAGTTCCCAGGTGATGCTATGCTTCCAGTCGGGGCCCACTCTTTGAGAACCGTTGTTGTAGTAGGTCAGAGGGAGATCACGAACGTAGTTGATCCCATGCTAAGGAGTTTAGAGTTTATTTTTAGCCATTCGGGATACCAGGCAAGGAAGTGACATCGTCAGATCTGTGAAGTAGAAAGTTCTGGTGACAATGGCAGAGAATGGATTAAAAGGGGTGAGCCTGCCAGAGACCATTTAGGAGCTGGGGCAGTAGTAAGTGGAAGATGAGAGCCAGGCCTACCACCAGGAGTGGAAATGGGGGAGAGAGGAGGGATGAAAGAGAACTGAAGGGCTGTGGAGAGCCACGGGAGTGGAGAAGGAAGAGGAATCTGGAATGACCAGGTGTTTAGCTTCCTTGACTGACCATGTGGTTGTTCTAGTGACCAAGAATGTACATTTAAAATAAGTTTTTACATTTTAAATAACAAAATCCTCCAGATTCTTTATTTTGAAAGAGGTAACTATGATGTAATAGAAAACCCACAGACTTAGGGGGCTAGACAAGTCTGAGCTCAAATCCTGTTTATGGTGTTTATTAGCAAATCCCTGGAAATACTACTACTTACACTACCCTGTAGAGTGGTCATGAAGACTAAATGAGATCACCCATAACTCATAGTGCTTAGAAAACTGCAACCCATGTCTTGGTGTGTGTGTGGACCACCGTGTGCATAAAGCTTCTGCTCTACTTACCACGGGAGTTCATTTTTTGATTGTCAAGGACCAGGATATATTCGTAAGTGCCACCCATCCATCCAGATGTGATGTAATGGGTTCCGTAGTCATCGATGAACTTGGCATACAAGCCGTAATTGTACTGCTCCGGCAGCTCCATTAATGACTGCAGCATTCCTTCATCCAGCATGATATTGTCCCTCCTCATCTTAAAATGGGCAGTCTGCACCTTTGTGAAAATTCTCATGAAGCTGTATTTCTGCCAGCAACCGCCGTTGAATGAGGCAAAAGAACAAAGAGAGCATACGCTTTACCACGAGATAGTGCAAAAGGTCAGCGTTTAGTAGTTGTGGGAAATTCACACACATACACACACACACACACAAACATAATACATATAATGGAGTATTATTGTATTTTACAAGCATATATTAGAGACACCAACGTGTACCAGACTTCTCCCACACCTTCATCTCTGTTCCCACGGCCCCTGCCCAGGTCGAATTCTCATCAGCTATCACCTAGGTTAGTTACGAGCTTAGTCACTACAGTGGCCTGTTTACTGTGCCGCATGCCTCTGTTCTGTCCCCCGTGCACTCTTGCCTCACGCTTCCCCTTGCACTAATCAAAGCACGACATCATGCAAACTCCTATGCAAATATTATGCATCCATTAAAAATTATGCTCAGGATGTCTTCGATGACATGATGGCATGTCATTTAGTTTAATTCATTGAACAAAAATCTATCATGCTTATAGTTGCACGCAGAGAATATAATCTTTTTTTTAATTTATTTTTATTTTTATTTATTTATTTTTTGGGGGGATATAATCTTGAACGAGATTGTTCCCTGCCCTCATGGAGCTTACGTTCTAGTGGTAATCTCATATGATTAAGTAATAAAGAAAAGCAGGATCCTCAGATAATAGTATAAATAAGACATAGCACCAGGGGACTGTTGGATTGGTTTTACAGGAAGATGGCCATCTATGAACGTTACATCCAGGTAATAAGAGCCTTGATTCAATGTGATGATGGAAGTATGAAGAGGCCACCTGCTTTTAGAAAAGTCCACGTTAACATGCGATAGCCAGACCCCAGAACAATGCAGTACTTTGCCTTCAGATGAATAGCTACTTCATTGGCAAAGCTCTAAAACTCAATTTATGTTTGCTGAATAAGTTAATTTTTATAAATGTATTTTCATTGTTCCAGATAATTTTTAAATCCCAACTAGATCCACAGTCCTGGTTTCAATGTTATTGAGGCTTTTGGATAAATTTCTAATCAATTCAACAAATATTTCTCTGGGCCTTGATTCTCTCTCTATCCTCATCCCTCCCTACTTTCGTTCCCCACCCACCCTTCAGCCAGTTGAAACACTTTGCAGCCCAGTGCGTGGGCGGCACTCTGTCTCTAGGCCTTCGCGCAGGCTGATCCATGCCTAGGCCATCCTTCCGCACTTACACCTCCCTTTGTCTGGACAACCTACACTAGTCTTTAGATCTCAGCTCACATGGATGCCCCTTCCTCCAGGAAGCATTTCTTGAGCCCTCAGGGTAATAGATACTTAGTGGTTAACGTTTGATGAAAAATGAAAGTTTTTTTGTTTTTTTGTTTTTTTTTTTTTTAGCATGCCAGCCCTCCTGTCTATTTAGAAAGGCAAGGCTTGCTTTAGAATTCTTCCAGCTTAAATTTAGAGGGCCTGGCAGTTTCTTTTTAACACATTACCATTCTACGTATTACCCTATATGCTCCACGTAACCATGAAAAAGGATGGAGGGGGGTGAACTGATAAGAGTTCTAGTCTTATCATTCAATTTTATTCCCTTTGTGATGATTCTGTGTGCAAAAGCGTAATAAGAAAAACAAACCTGATTACCACTGATCAGACATTTCCAATTACACAAGCAAATTAAAGTCCAATTACTACTGTACTTTTTAATGCAATTAAGGTAATACATGTTCAGTGTAGATTATGGGATACTATGAGACACAGACATTATGTTTTAATACCTTCTCATTATACTTGCTTAACTTATTCAAGAATGAAGAGTCTTCTAACCCGGATACACCTACACCCACCATCACAGAGCCGCTGGATGGGCCTACACCAATGGTCACTCCACCAGACTTAAACTTGTCCTCTTTTACTTTAGAAAGAAGGTCATTTGCATCATCATACAACTCTGAGGAGATTCCAGTATCAGCCCGAGCCTGAAAACAAACAAATGTTAGCTTTGCGAACATAGAGCTGTTTTCCGATTCATATTTAGTACTTAAATCTTTGCTTTGTAAAATACCTAAAGTTTCATATTATTGTAAGTCATTCTTTTATCAGACTAATCTGAGTGTCAGATTGATACTAAAATACAGAAAATGCAGCAGTGTTAGTGTTTAGTGGTACTGTAAAACTGTTTACATACCATGCGCATGTACACACACACGATTCTGCTCAAATGTTAGAGTGTTCAAGTGTGGATTTCGTTCACAGCTGGCTCGTCCTTCCTGGAGAGAAGGAAGGCCAGGCGCTTGTCCTTGCAATGGAGAGATACAGAAAGCCACACCTAGGCATGGGCCCGGGAGGAAAGGAGCAAAGGAAGCTGTGCAGATCACGATTGTCTGAGGCAGCGGTGGCTTCAGTGCTGCCCACAAATGTTTGGTCATTTCATTCCAGGCATGTTATAGAGTTGCATTTCTCTGCTGACTTGAACTGAGGCATGGTCTTGTGCTTTGCTTGAGCCGATGAAGCAAGCCTTAGGAGCCTGCAAGGAGCTTCTCAGCAATCATAAGAGCATGTGTTGAAATGGAGCCTCCATCACTTTGAGTCCCTAAGTGCCCGTGATGATTAGCTGCCTTTCTTCCTGAGGACAGACAAGTAGCATACGCAAGGCATCGTCGCTTCCAGCTGCTGAGATTTGAGAATTCTTTGTTCCCACCTCATAGCCTAGTCTGTCTTGCCCGATTCATAGACCTAGACCTTCCTTGAGATTGGGAACATGGCATTGTCTGTGTCTTCCAGCTTGGCTTACCATAAGCCCGATACGGGGTAGGGGTGCGTGTGGGGTTGGGGGAGAAACTTCTTAAAAACAGACCCCATAAGCCTGGACTTATTTTCTGTCAATACTATTTTTTTAAATTTTTTTATCTGAGTATTACAGGGGTACAAATGTTTAGGTTATATATACTGCCTTTGCCCCACCCAAGTCAGACCTTCAAACATGTCCATCCCCCATACTGTGTGCATCACACCCATTAGGTGTGAATATACCCATCCTCTCCTCACCTCTCCCACCTGCCTGACATCCCATGAATGTTATTACTATATGTGCACTTAATGTGTTGATCGGTTAATACCAATTTGATGGTGAGTACATGTACAATGCTTGTTTTTCCATTCTTGGGATACTTCACTTAGCAGAATGGGCTCCAGCTCTATCCAGGATAATACAAGAGGTGCTAGATCACCATTGTTTTTTGCATACTCCATGGTATACATAGATCACATTTCATTAATCCACTAATGTACTGATGGGCACTTGGGTTGATTCCACATCTTTGCAATTGTGAGTTGTGTCAATACTTTTCTCTTGAAAGAAACTTTGGGAAGGGGAGGACGTGACTAGATAATTATCCAGAATCCTGTAATCCTACCGTCTCTCTCTATAGTTATACTGTATTTAGTTTGTCCACTCCTCTAAATGATGTTTAGCCTGGGATTAGTTCAGACAGACCTGGGTTTGAATCTTGTCTCTGCCACCTATTGCAGTACAGTTTGGGCTTGATACTTTATTCCTTTTAAACACTCTTTTTATATCTAAAATGGGATGATGATATCATCTCTCTCACTGTGTTGTGAGGATTAAGTGGGAGAATTCATGTGGAAGTAGAGATCCGATGCATGGTAAGCGTTCACTGATGTTTGCTATGTGGACATCTCACCCACAGGATGAGAGTGAAGAAATGGATGGCTCTGAGCAGGCTCTGGACCGATGGTGAGCTGTGTGGTGCTCCAAGCAACCAAGAGACCACAGGAGTTTAGAGGTGCAGGGAACCTTAGAGATCATCAGCAATTTCATAGCTCTTTTGAACAGAAGAAACTTTCATCAAACAAAATCATATACAACAAGCCAAGATATGAAAATGATCAGTGTGAGCTGCCCTTGGGCATAGCTGGAGCAGAGGCTTCAGAACCGTGCCCATCTATGCCCTATCTTGCTGCCGCTTCACAGATTAGGGCCGGGGACAGGGGACAGGCAGTGAGTTGCTCGAGGTCTTATGCAGTTATAGTCTAACAGAGCCGCAACTTGGAAATAGATCTCCTGACTGGCAACCCAGAGAATAGGGCCCCAGATCTCTTTAATTAGTCTTGGCATGGAGCCCAGATTGAACAGGCAGGTGGCCACGTTTATGCTGCGCCTCTCAGTGCCTCTCAGCACCCTTCCACACGGAGCATGTGTCGGGGCAGGCACAGAAGGGCCTTCAACCCCCAGCAAGCTCTACGGGAAACGAAAGCTCCCCGGGCAAGGCGTCTCCATCGGCAGGCCTCTCCCTCCTGCCACCCAGCCTGCGGGGGCCGGAGAACCTCCCTGCTCAGGCTTACTTCGAAGTGGTACTTGAGGAAGTTGTAGGGTTTCCGGAAGTACTTCTCGTCGTCTCCATAGTAGAGCTGCTCGCAGGTGGGGTCGTATCGCAGTTCTCTCCACTCCCCGTTGTATACCGCCTCACACAGGCCCCCGTAGTACCTGGCGTCATACACGCTCTGAGTTTCTTCCTGGGTCAGGATATTGTACCTAAATTGAAAAAGCAGCTTCTGGGAGAGAGCATTGGAAAGGCAAAAGCAGCATAAAATGTCATTCTCTGGAAGAGGCAGCTGGTTCAAGTGGTAGTTTCTCAATCTGTGTTCTCTGGAGCCCTAGGGTTCCTCCAAGTAGCTTGCTGGCCACTTTAGGTAACACTGGGAGACTGAGTGGGCTGGCTTGAGCCCCCCAGGTTCTCTTTAACCAGAACGTCTAGACAGCTCCATTCAGCATCCAGAATAATGCTTCCACATAACAGGCACCCCTATATGTTTGTTGAATAGGATAGAAAGAAATATGCATAATTATCTTAAGTCCAACCACAGGGGTCAAGACAGCCTGGGCCCATTTCTAGGCTCTGCCACATCTAGCTGTGTGACTTCAGGCAAATCATTTAAGCCCTCTGTGCCTTAGTTTAGTCATTCGTAAAAAGCAGTTACTAATACTGCCACCCTTGTAGAGTTAAATATGAATTAAAACATATAAAGGAATCATAGTTGTGCTCAGAATAACTAAGTACTGAAAAAATGCTGCTGCTGCTGCTGTTATTGTTAGTATCATTTCACAAAAGAGCTCTGCTGCTAAAAAATAAGTTTGCAAGATCAGGTGTGACTGACAGTGCTAAGGTTTGACAATCTAATCCCCAGAAAGGCCCCTGTCTTCGAGGCAGCTTGGGATGTCAGAGATGCACAGTTAGAGAGACTCCTGTTTAATTTCCAACGCTGCCACTTACTAGCTATGGGGCTTTGAATGCCTTCTAGAAGCTCTCTGAAGTTCATTTGCCTCGTTTAAAGAACAGATATAATAATACCTACCTCTCATGGTTTTTGTGAAGTCTAAATGAGAGCATTAAATTAAAGCAGAAGTAAAGTTGATAGTCCATATTAAGCATTCAACAAATGGTACTTATTTTTCCCTAGCCAAATATTCTTCCAGAAATATTTTCCCATACTTGCCTCTCTGGAGTATTTAAAAATCTATCTGCCCAGGTCCCATGTTTTAGGACATGGATGGTTTTACCATATTTAGGTAAAATACAATGTCAAGCAAGTGAAATACAGGTTTAATTTTCTACAAAGGGAAAGTTAACAGAACAAAGACATTAGAGTTGGCTAAGAGCTCTAACACCCGACAATCAAAGCCTCTTATGTTGCAGATGATAAAATTATTGCTTTTGTTCATCTCTCAAGCTCCCATTTAGGCTTTAAGACCCAACTCTCACCTCACCTCCTGTCCACAGTTGTTTTTGAATGCTCTGGACAGATAGGTGTTCCCTCCTCTATGTTCCCATGACATTTGGTGACTACCTGTGGCATACCATTGATCACAATTATTTATGCCCTCTGTGAAAAAGGCACAAAGGCAAAAAAGGAGCAGGGGATAAACTGTGAATAAAACCCACCTCAAAGGAATAAATGGATAATTATAGAGCACCTGGCAGGTCATAGAAATTCAACGTGTGTTAACTTCCTCCTTCTCTTCCTTCCTCCATCTCTTTCTTCATATTAGTAGAAGTGATGTAATAATAGCTATGATGAATTGAATACACACTCTACTAGACATTTAGCTTGATTAGCTTTCAACCTCACAACAATTTCGCAAATGCAGAAATTGAAGCTCAGAAAAATTAAGTAACTTGCCTGTAGTCACAGCTGGATTTTTTCCTAGATTTTGTTGACAGTATAATCTGGGTTCCCTTCACTCCCCCTGCAATTTCTATCTTCCCACCCATTGAATATGTTTCTGCCTGTAGTTTATAAATATAGCCCCTCCAACAGACCAAACAAAAACTCAAAGGAACAGTAAGCCCTAAGACTGTATTATAACCTCTAAGCATAAATAACGCCTACATAGATTTGAAAAAGCTGTTGCAAAAGCCCCAGTGAAAATGAAAAGGCATGGTCAAAAAAGTACTACTTTTGGAAATCTATGCAGAAATATTCACACATGCGTACAAAAATATGTGTATAAGAATGGTCATTGCAGCGTTGCTTATAAAAGGAAAAAAAATGAGAAAAGAAGCTAATTATCTTTCAATAGGAAGCAGTCAAATAAATTACCATATAGTTATACTATAGAAGAGGAGTCAGCAAACTTTTTTTATAAAGGGCTAGATAGTATTTTAAGCTTCTCAGGCCACAGGGCTGTGTTGCAACCACTCAACTCTGCCCTTGCAGGACAAAAGCTATGTTCTGGTAAAACCTTAGTTACAAGAACAGCAGGCTGAATTTGGCCTTCAGGCCATGGTTTGCTGATCTCTGTTATAGAACACTATGTAACTTATTAAAAAGAGACTGACAATATAACAGGAAATCTTAAATATCTATTATTAAGTGAAAACATGCAAGTTATAGACAATATGCATCATATGGTCACATTGATGTAAAATAGACCTATGTCTATAATCCACAGTACACATAGGTATATTTTCCATGCAATGTGTATTGTCAGTGCATTTTTTACATGATCTGGAAGTATGTACATTAAACTGTCAACAGGGTCAGCTCTAGGAACGGGGGAGAGGGCAACAATGTGGGGTGCTATTGGGGGAAGTGAAGGAAGATTCTCAATTCTTATCCCAAAACTGTATCACTTCTCGAACAAAAGATAAAAATTTAAAACTAGGCAATGCTTAAATTAGAAAAAAGTAAGATATCAAGAAACGTCTTTGTGATCTGAGAGGAACAGAAGGACTACCAAAATGTCAGCTGTCGCGAGTGGAGGAAAAGCCATTTTGCTGGTTTCACTATTTGGTGTGGGTAAAGCACACTGCTCAGAAAATGTATTTGAGATGCTCCTTGTTGAATCACAGGAGCACAGGGTCATGGTTTGTGATCTCTTTGCCAGTGGAAAGGGGATTATTTTTCAGCTCAGCACCTCAGTATTTCACATTTCTACTCTGTTTATTCCCATGGTCACTTTTGAAATCAGCAAGAATCCTCTTTGATTGATGTTATGAGCTGAGTTACATCTTCCCAACATTTATATGTTGAAGCCCCAACCCTCAAAACCTCATATCATGACAGTATTTGGAAATAGAGTCCTTAAAGAGGTCATTAAGTTAAAATGAGGTTATTAGGCGGGTCATCCAATGCGAGTAGTGTCCTTCTAAGAGGAGAAGATAGGACACAGATATGTACAGAGGGAAGAACGTTTGAAGACACAGGGAGTAGCCAGTCATCTGCAAGGCAAGGAGAGAGGCCTCAGAAGAAACCACCCTGGGGACACCTTGACCTCAGACTTCTAGCCTCCAGAATTGTGAGAAAATGAATTTCTGTGTGTAAGCCACACAGTTTAAACGTAACTACCACAACCCAGGTTGTGGTACTTTGTTATGGTAATCCCAGCAAACTAATACAATTGGCCTGGAAGAAAACCGAATGTGCTCATCTTTTTATAAGCATGTCTCTACATGCAACTCACAGGATTCCATCCCAACTAGGAGGTGGGCTGTGGTCTCAGAACAATTCAGTCCATAACACCAGGTAAGGAGTTATCCAGGTTAGGAATAGGGGGAAGAACGTTCCAGAAAGAAGGAACCAAGTTGATTAAGGCTCAAAAGGAAAGAGTATGATGCATTCGAGGAACTGAACCTGAAGGATGAAGAGAAGTTAGAATCAAGACTGATTTAATCTTCATAGATAAAGACAAAGAAACTATGGCCTTGGAGGTTTGAGTAAGCAAAAGCAAGTGGGTGTTCAAGGCCCTGTCTCACTGCTAGCCCTGGTTATACAAGTGACTACAGTGCAAAGCAGATTGTGAGCGGGGCTATTGGAAAGGACAGCTGGATCAGAGAAGGGCTCTTTGGGGACATCAGGGAATGCCTTATGGAAGAAGTGGCTTTTTAAAAGGGCCTTAGAAATGGCACAGGGGTGATGGTGCTGAGCAGTGGAGCGGGGACAGCTGAAAGGAGATGAGGACTCTTAAGCAGAGACGTGGAGGAAGAGCATAGGCAGTGCCTTGTGGGTAGCACTGGGCAAGCTGCGGTAATGGCTGCCTTGCAAGATGCACTCCAGAGGTGTCCTCCAAAATGGTCCCTTTCTGTCCCCAAAATTAATACTCATGACTGAAATCATCCCTGCTCCTGAAATCATACCTGCAGGCAGGGACTCACCCCAAAGCTGCCTTCTCGGATCCTGGAATTGGGTCGTACTGGGTGCAGTCATCATCAATGGCCCTGACATCTTCACAGTCGTCCTCATCAGAGCCATCAAGGCAGTCCCTGTCTCCATTACACACGAGGTGGCGTTTCAGGCAGCGACCTGAGAAAGGAGAGGCTGTGGCTGCTGTCTGGACTCCCCTCTCCCTCACCACCCACAGCCATGATCACCAAGTCCTTTCCACCCTGAAATAGCACTCCCATTGTCCCAGCCTCTCTCTGTCGTCACTGCCTCTGCCCTCCTCCCCAGCCCCGTGAGCTCCCGCCTGCAGCCTCCAAGCTCAGGCCTCGCCCGAGTCTCTCTGCTAGCCTCTGCATTGCAGCCCCGGGTAATCTTTCTAAAATACCAACCTAGCCATGTTGTCCCCTCACTCTGTATCCTCCAGCAGCTCCCCACTCCTCTTCCAAATGCGACAGTCTGACCCCTGGTTACCTACCCAGCCCCTGGTTCCCTCAATGACCCATCACCTGCCTCGCTTCCCAAAGCCCTGATGCTGCAGATATTCTGCACAGATTAGGAGTCCCCGATCCCCATGTTTTTCTGTGTTCTTTTTCCTAGAAAGTTTTGTTTTATTTTCCAAGTGTCAGCTTAAGTACCATTTTGAAGCCTGCCCTGACTACCCAGAGCAGTTTCAGGCACCTCCTGCTGGACAGTCCCACTGGGCCATGTGTATACACCCACTGCAGTGGCTGCATGGGGTACTGCGATAGATTCCTTGAAGGTCTCTCTCCCAAACAGACTAGTAGACCCTCAAGGTCAGGTGCATTATTTTTTATTCTCTATATTAACAACAGGTAGCACACTTCCCGGCACATATGTTACCAACAATATTTGTTCAATGAGTAGATGAAGGCATGACTTGTACATTTTCTAAATGAATCAGCAGCTATTCCTACAAACTTGAACCAAAATTACTTCGGCCGCTGACTTGGTTTAAAAATGCAAATTCCTGGGCCCCATCCCAACCTCCAGAACTGCAACCTCTAAGGGAAGGGCTCAGGAGTCTGCATTCTAACAAGCTCCCTGGGGAAGTGTTTTGCATGTTAAGTTTGACAAGCACAGCTGTCTTCCCACTGGAAGGCTACTCACCTGTCTCCTTACACTGGAAATCCTGTCCACATTGTGCTTGGCTTTGACAAGCTGTGGGACTGGAACAGCTGGCTTGATCCCAGACATCCCCACTGCAGATGGTTCCCCCAAACTTGTTTGGCTGCAAGAGGCTCCGGTATCGGTACTAAATCAGATTTTTGAACCAGACACATTTTTGTCAATCAATCAACCGAGATTTGTGCAGGCAGGTGTCAGCTCAACATAGGAAATAACTATTTAATGATTGATAGCTGCCTACAGAACTGTCTTTTGAGGGGATGAATGTGCATAAACAGTGGCATTCAACCAGAGGTGGTGGCACCATCCCCAGCTGGAATATCGAATAGGGCCTCCAAACATCAAATGAAAGCCTTGGACAAGCTATTTCTAGAGTCTGTCTACTTGCTAGGGTGGATCTCTGTTTCCCCTTCTTCAACCAGTTAAATTCCTATTCATCTCTCAAGATTCACTGTTTACCTTCTCTGGAAAACCTTCCGTAACTAAGCAACATATTCTGCAGGTTTGAGAGTGTCCCTCTCTGTTGACACGTGTCACCTGAGGCTCTGATTGAGCACCCACTTATTTGTTATCTCCCACCAGTCTGTGAGTGATTTGCCTATGGGGATAAGAGCCACGAAGGGAGGAACACGTCTGATTTGGCTTCATACACTTGTCACTTGACTTGCAGTCAGGTACACGGGAGGTACTTTTGCAAGACATTTGTTGCTTGTCTTTTGCAGCATTTCTTCTGTTCACAGCCTTCCCCCCTTTCCTTAGATTTCAGGTGGGGGTGACCTCACCCCCTCAGTCACAGGGATGTGTAGGTATAAACCAGGCCCCGCCAACCAGAGCACAACGTCTGCCTAGGTACAATGACTGCTTCAGGAATTGGCACATCACTCTACCCAGGCCAATCATGGTCCTTCCTGAGGATTCTCTTTTTGGAAAAGATAGCTGCTTTTTTTATTGGAATTACTGGGAATTATGGGTATCAAGTGATCAATCATCTCGCCTATCATGTTGAAAGAGCCAATCAAGAGACAAAGAGAGCTCTGAAGACATCATCTGAGTGCCTGGGGCCAGCCTTGACTGCAGATGAATAAATACTTATTGATAGAAGGAAGGAAAGAATTAAAATGCATACCTGTCTTGGGGCTCTAGGGTTTCCTGGTAATGCTTTCTATGTAGCGCATGGTGTTAGGCACTAGAGTAGAAGGAGGAAGCTAAAGACTAGCATATTCAGAGAAATATGAGGTCTTAGCCCCACCTTCAAGAAGCTTAGGGTTTAGTTGAGATAAAATGTACAGTAATACAAGCATGCTGCATGCAGAACATGCACACAGAGTGTCTGATCCGGAAATGGGCAGCCCTGTACTTTCTGCTTCCTGTTTCTTTGGCTCAGCCCACAGGCCCCTCCTTCAAAAATGTTAGTATGTAAACAAGAAAGCAATGATTTGAGCAACAAGACAAGTGAGTTCCTGACCTGAATCCATTTCTTACTTGCCGTATGAGGTATCAGGGCCTAGTTCTTGGTGCCTCAGTTTCTAAATCTGTAAAATGAGGTGATTGATCTCAATGACCTAAGTACAATTACTAATGATTCTTTCACCTGTATCCTACAATCAAGCATGGGCACGAGGATTAGACAGACTTGGGTTCAGACCCCAGATTTGCTTACCGACTGAGCAAGTCACTTACCTTTTCTGAGCTTCTGTTTTCTAGTATGTATAATGGGTGTCACAGCACCTCATCTTGAAGGGACTGTGTGAGCTCTAAGTGACAGACTATGAAAAAGCCGCTAGCCCTGTGCCTGGTATATCATTGGTACTCAGTCTACAGAGGTGGTTTTCACATGGTTATTGGTATTCATGCAGTCTTTTCCAGATGATTCCAGTGGGTGGAGAAATTCAGTTTACCTCCCCTCTTGCCCACCTCTGTCTCCATAACCTTCTCACTAGCAAAGGGGCGGAGTTAGCAAGGAGAGGCGAAGATTGGACCTCGTCATTTGCCTGTCCTGCCTTTCAGTTCATAAGGGTGGTAAGAGGTTTGTAAACTCTGTGGGAAGAGCTTATAGTTAATGATCATTTGGGAATATCAGGATATTTCAATTTTCCACCTACACTCCTGCCCCTCAGCACAGCAAATAAAGCAGTGATCAGCATACAAATGCAGAGTTAATTTTCTTTCTTGCTCTTGCAAAAAGTTCGTTAGATTTTTAAAACCTGTAGTTACCAACATAATAATGGCGGTGGTAGCTGCCATTTATTAAGTGCTCACTCTTGGCCACTTTACATTCTTTATATTATTTAATCTTCACAAGTTTATGAGGTTAAGTATTATTACAAATCCCATTTCGAGCTAGGTGAGAATTCTAACTCTGCCACTTAGTGTATATGCATCACTAGGCAAACTACTTAACATCTCTGATCCTCGGTTTTTTCATTTGTAGAGTAAGATGTATCTAAGAGCACTGCACAGATTAGTGACAATGCATGTGAAGGAATTGGCACTTTGCCTGGCTTCTGGTACATACTCCATAATAATAGTTACCAATATCGTCGTCATTCTTACAGCCAGCTGTTGGGCTACACCAGAAGGCATTGGCATCAATGCCTGCTAATGTCACTCATGACTCTGTAGGATAATCGGGGGAGGTGGTAGAGTCCAGTGATTAGCCACTCAGGACTTCTGGAGTCAGACTGACCAAGTTTTAAATGCAGGCTCTGCCACTTTCTTAATTGATGACCTAAACAAAGTGGATGATGGTATCTATTGTTTACATTTATAGTTGACTGTGTAAGTCAAGACTATTTAAAGTATTAGCACAGTGCCCAGTACCTAGAAATCATTTAATAAGTGGTGACTATTATTGCCATTATCATCCTTCCTATGGCACCTGTACATGGAATAATGGCACAAGCCATAGGGTTCATTCCCGTCAGTTCCCTATTCTCCAGGTTGCTATCAAATAATGAAGATACCGTGTTGCAGGAAGGTTGGTGCCAATACTCCCTAAGTGACTTCTCCGTGCTGTTGCCTGTGGCTGGTGTCATTAAGACATAATTTTCTTTTCTAGCTAGTAGATGATGTTTCTTTCCAGAAATGCACATCTTTATTTGGGTGATTTTGAGAGGGAGAAACATATTAATCAAAAGAAACTAGGGTAGTCTTTCACTTAAATAATTAGCAGAATTTAATTATTTTAAGAAATACTTTTAAAAACACATGTGTCCTTTTGAGTCACTAAGGAAGTAATTCCATTCTGATCTAAACTGCAAGTCATTTACTCGTGCTGACTATCTGCTGTCTAAACTGAAACACATGAGAAAAGTTTAGTTTGAGATGTATAATAGGTTGAATAATGTCCACACAAAGATATCAAGTCCTAACCTGTGGAATTTATAAATGTTACGTTATTTGGAAAAGGCATCTTTGCATATTTATTAAGGTTTTTTTGAGATGAGGAGATTTCCCTGGATTACCTGGGTGGTCTCAAATGTCATCATAGTGTCTTATAAGAAGAAGGCAGACACACAGAGGAAAAGACACCCGGAAGAGGAGATGGCAGGGTGGCCAGGGAGGCGGAGATAGGAGTGATGCAGCCATGGGTTAAGGATTGTCAACGGCCACCAGAAGTTGGAAGAGACGAAGAACAAATTCTCCCTTGGAGCCTCCAGGAGGGAGCATGGCCCTGCCAACACCTTGATTTCAGACTCCTGGCCTCCAGAACTTTCCATTGTTTTAAGCCACCAAGTTTGTGGCAATTCGTTAAAGCTGACTTGGGAAACTAATACAGGATATCATAGGAAAATGAGAATTTGGGGGCCACATACTTTTAAACAGGGGCAGTCTAGGATCTTTGGCATTTCTCAGAGATGGGAAAGGCAGAATGACAAATTTTAGGCCTTGATGTTGAATAAACTAGGTCCAAACTGTGTGTGTTTCCACCACTTAATAGCGCTGTGATTTCGAACAACTCATCAGAGACATTCAGAGCACCTGTGTCTACCTGAGGGGTGGGTCTGGAGGCAGGGTGACCATCTGCAGGCCTTGCAAGAGCTCAGGCGAGAGGAGAGCAGGGCTGGACTCAAGCCAAGGGGAGAGGGGTTGCAGAGGCAGACACAGACAGTAACTAGAGAAACAGCTGGCATTTGCTGAACAGATGCCAGATGCCATGAAAAATGCTTTGCACACGTTACACACTGTAGTGCTCATAATAATTCTATAATCAATCCCCATTCATAGACCAGGAAACTGAGGCACACAAAGGATAAAAAATATCCAAATTAACATAGCAGATAAGGGGCTGTGTTAAATCTTAAACTGCAGAACTGAAACTTAACCACTTCGGTATGAACCACTTTAGTACAAAGCTCACCAGCCTTGAAACCTTGCCCACAGCTGGCACTCACAGTCGATGCGTGGCTGTGGGCGTTCATCTGTGGCTATCGACTACAGTCGACACTCATACCGAAGTGGTTAAACACTTCCACTCGACAGTACCATGCCTATAGGCAAGGTTCAGGCAGTGGCGTGCCCCGTGGGGAAAGGGGCATCCAATACAGGCATGTGTTGACTGAAGGAGATTTCAAAACAATAATAAAACAGAGTAGAAGTTAGACTGTATTTTATTATCACCATGAGCCAGTGATTCTGAACCCCTTCCTGCCAGAGCAGAGAGCTCCCAGCATCCCCCTTCCCTCCAAATGCCAGGGGGCTTAGGATCCTTTTGGATCACTCAGAACCATTTAGATGGGAAAAATAGACACACCTTTGTCCATTGGCCTTTTCAGTTTCTGAGAGTGGAATGCTTGGGTGCACCCTTCTTGGCATGCCCTGATTTATCTAGCTACGTGCATCGTTACTCAGCTCCCTGTGAGCAGCTTGGCATTTTGTTACTAATCCATTAGTCCCTCCAGATGACCCTCACTAGAGGGCAATAGATTGGCCAGGACCCAGAGAGGCCATCGGGGATAAATGTGCCCATGTCCAGATGGCCACTCTTCTGCCTCTGAGTCATAACATACAGGTCATTTGCAGCCTCACCCAATAATGCCTTACAAACAAGAAACGAGTTTCAGTAGCCACGTGCCCATGGCTTGCAAATACCCATTTCTCCCCAGACCCTTAGAATTATAGCCCCAACTGCTTATCTCCATATGAATGCCTAATACACAAGTCAAATATGAAATGGCCCCAAACTGGTCGTAAATGTCTTACCTTTTTGCCCTGGCATGGAAAGCAATCTGTCCACTCTGACCAGTTGCTCAGCTGGCAGGTAACTGCTGTGGGGGTAGCAGATCGACTTACTCTCCTAAAGAGAGGAAAGACCCCCGTATCAATATTGAGCTGCAAAATTTAAGCAAAGGAGAAAACCGTGCACATTTTCCTTCCAGTAAAACATGGTTTTAAGAAATAGGAATGAACGTGTACTGTATCCCTACTATATGTAGGAATGGTGCTGGAGGGTTTATATAAATTATCCCTTTAATAGGTGGGAGGGGGGGCGGGTACATACATACATAATGAGTGAGATGCGCACCATCTGGGGGATGGTCACGCTAGAAACTCAGACTTGTGGGGGGAGGGGAGAAAGGGCATTTTTTGAAAGCTTAAAATTTGTACCCCCAAAATATGCCAAAATAAAAAAAAATAGTGTGTCAATCCCAAGTGGAATGAGTACAGAAGAGGGCTAACAAATTTTGGAAATTTTTTGGAAACCCAAAGGAGCAGAAAGCTCAGTGGGTCAGAACGTGGAAGAGGGTTGAGTGAATCACAACAACTTGCTGGCTTAGATGTTAAGCAAGTTACTTGACATCTCAGAGCTACAGCTTCCTCATCTGTAAAGCTGTGTTAAAAATAATATTACCTAATAGGATTATTGAAAGTAACCTTGAAATGCTCATGAAGTGTTTACTAAAGGTTGGCTTTTATTATTACATGCTGAGACATTACATGGATTGTCTCAATCTCTACAACAATCCTGGGAGTTAAATATTATTAGCCGTATTTTATATACAATATAAGAAAACTGAGATTCCTAAAAGCTAAGTAACCTCTGAAGCAACAGCCCAGGGGTGACAGAGGTCAAATTTCAATAGCAAAGCCCACTTCCTATTTCCAATCTTCATGCTGCTGCATTTTATAAATCTGTCGACAGAAATGAGAGAGTGTGTCCCCAAGGCCATGATCTTTTTTATCCAATGTTGCTACTCATAGGCTAAAAGTCTCATTCAGGGTCAGAGCGGCAAGGCATGAGCTTGCATGGCTGCAAATGTTAGCCTCTCCCCATAGCATCATCACTGCTGCAGCTGCTGCAACTTCAACACCAGCTCAGCCCACTGGGCAAAGTAAGAAGACTCTCTGTCACCCCCAGAATTGCCACAGCCTTAGAGAGCCAGGAAGCCTCTGCTGTGATGAATGACACAATCATCTCCCAAGTGCAGGGAAAAAAGTACTTCCAATCTCATGCTAATTACACAGTGAACTGCTACTCTTGATGAATGATGACGCCGAGGTTGAAACCCTAGACAAGGATCTGTGGAAGTCAGGAAAATTATGTTCATCTTTAATGCTGATTCTCAAACTTTTGGTCTGAAGACCCCTTTATACTCCAACTAATTATTGAGGACCCTGAAGAGCCTTAAGTGGGATAGATCTATCAATATTCACAGAATTAAAAATAAAAATTGAGATATTTTAAAAATATTTGTTTATCTAAAATGACAGTAACAAACTGATTACATGTTACCCTAATTCTACATTTTTGCAAATGCCTTCAATGTCTGGTTAAGTAGAAAGCAGCTACTTTTTTGCTTCTTCATTTGATCTGTTGCTGTATGTTGTTTTGGTTAAAGTCTATGAATAAAACCCAGCCTTACACGGTCATGTAGTTGAAAAAGGGAGGACTGTCTTTAACAGTCTTTGGAGATGACTGTGGATATTCTCCTTTAGTATTACACCAAAACTTGACAAGTGATGATTTCTTATGGTAGTTGCAATGCAGAACCTGAAAGTATGTCAGTGAATTTTTTTGTATTACATTACAGTGCATTGGTCTACATACACTTCAAATGGATCTTATGCCCATGTATGGTTTCTAAAACATCAGGCATTAGAAATTTGGAAAATAATAGTTCACTAAGTATGCATATCTCACAAATATTAACACATTTTACTATATAATATAAAAAATCAAACTTGTTCATATCACCAGTGATCTTATTAAGCTGATGGTGGTGGATTTGTTTCCAAAATTTTAATTTTCTCATAAAAGCTCAAATTTTGTCATTGGTAAGAAATAATGTTATTTGTTTTCCTTGAAGTGATAGGCTCTCTGCATTTTTGAAACAATATATGCCAAATATCTAAGCCTGAATAACCATAGCTTTTCTGGCAGTTATTTTGTCAAGTAAAAATGAAGTTCCAGGAAAAAAATTGGTCTTCATGTATTAAACGTTTGTGTCCCCCCAAAATTGATAAGTTGAAACCTAATCCTCAAAGCGATGGTATTAGGAGGTGGGTACTTTTGGAAGTGATTAGGTCATGAGAGTGGAGCCCTCATGAATGACATTAGTGTCCTTATTAAAGAGACCACAGAGACTTCCCTCAACCCTCTACCACGTGAGAATACAGTGAGAAGACAGTCACCTGTGAACCAGGAGGCAGGCCCTCACCAGACACTGAACCTGCCAGTGTCTAGACCTTGGACTTACCAACCTCTAGAACTACGAGAAATAAATGTTTGTTGCTTAGTCTACCCAGTCTAGGGTCATTTGGTATGGCAGCCCAAACCAAGACAAGTGGCTATTTTGACTTAGAACTCAAACAATTGTTCTTCCTCAAGACAGCCATCATACTCAGTGTATGGGAAGTTCTTTATGCATTCTCCCCATTTTGTCACATAGAATATTTAAATAACATCCATCAAGGGTTGAGATTTAATAAAATTAACAATCCGTACTGCTTCAATGACTTTCTTAAGTAAAACAATTGTTTTCCTGTGTGCTTGGTGTCACTGCCTTGATTTCGACCAAGGCTGCAGCAACTTTATCCACCAGTGCTTTTGTACCATCAGTGCAAATAGAAACACAGTGAAAAGGGAAAATAATGTCTTAGTATTATTGTGAAAATTGTTTTGAACTCACAGATGCCCTGAGAAGATCTTGGTGGTTCCCTGGGGTCTGCAGACCACACTTTGAGAAACTGTAATCTATGAAATGAAGCTCTAGTCCTTCAAAAGCTTTACTGTCCCTCAAAAGACAACTTCAGTGCCAGCTCACAATATTCCTGTCTACCTCACTCTGGGAGACTGATCATCCCTATAAATGAGCCACCCAATGCTCTGCCCTCTCAGTTGCTCCTTTTCCTTATCTCCAATAATCTTCTCTTCACTCCGCTATCTTCCATGGTCACATTTTGGACCTTCTCACTCTCTGAAACAGCTCCTCCTCCAAATCACTAATTCATGGGCCACCTGTGAAGAGTTACTTGGGGCTCCACAGTCTCTTCTCCTATCTTATCAAGGATTCCCACTGCACTTGTTCTTGGACTTCATTTTGACCTCCATTATCTTGACATCTAAGCTTCCTCCCTATTAAGATGACCCTATCCTATCTTTATTTACCTTTAGAACCAGTTTTGATTCCATGATCCATCATTTCTAAATCTTACCTATATCCTAAACTCCTAGACCTCACTGTTACTTCACCTACACCTACCTATAAAGCCCAACCATCTACCTTGGTTAACTCTTAGGTATCTTTCAGTCTCATCATAAGTATCAATCCCTTAGGGAAATAATTCCCAATAGCCAGAGTTGTTAGATACCTCCTTTCAGATGATTTGATCAATCTCTGCACATTTTCCTAAAATTTAATTATCACACTTGCAGTATTTGTGTAATTTTTTTCTTCTCCATCAGATTTTAAGTTCTATGAATGCAGGTACTATCTATATTTGCTACTCATCTCCCAGCACCGCCCATGGGCCAGACTCGTGGAAAGTGCTCAGTAAATATTTATGAAAGGTAAAAACAAAAAGAAAAGGAGGGAAAAGAAAGAATGAAGCTAATTTCTGGGAAATAGGAAGTGACATTGTTGAGAGATTTATTTTAACCTGGTTCCCAGTTAGAATCTATTAATAATTAAATAATCTTCGTATCTAAAAATTCAAATTCAAGGTTTGGTCCACATGCCAATTTTTTGGGTTTTTTTTCAGTAAACTGGCCTAAAAGTAAAGGTTTGAGGTGTAGGAACATGGGGAAAGAGAAGGGACAGGGCGAAGGTTTGGGAACAAGAAAGGACTCCATATTAGTTCTCCGTCTCACTATAGAACTGTCAAGATAATGTCATTGTAAGCCCACAGAGACTGCATTATGATGTCAAACTGGAGAGAAACAATATTAATGGATGGAAGCAAAAGTCTAGACAGAGCAGTGTTGTGTTGCTATAGTTTTAAAAGCTTTGTGACATGCTGTCTAGACAGAGGCACACACAGTAATACTATCACTGAGGCCAGAGTACAAAAGGAACACCAGGACCATTCATTAAGTCATTACAGGGCTCCAACCTTTTAGTCAATATCAATATGAACAACATTTTCTCTTATCATTCCAATGAAGGTTTTAATGTGGATCATTTTTTGATGATGATAAAGGTAATACATTCTAATTAAAGAGAACATAGGAAAGATTATAAAAGAAAAAAGTTGTCCTAAGTCTTACTACCTTTAATATTTTGTTATATTTACTTCCACTCTTTATTTTCATAACATAATTGAAGTCATACTGGGTATTACATTTTATAGCCTGATTTTCCACTTAATAGTAGAGCAGAAATGTAAACTATGATGGCTACACATTATTCCACTCCCCTAATATTAAACAATTAGATTTTGAACCCCCAGTTTGTCTGTATTCTAAATTATTTGCTGAAGATATATCCTGTAGAATGGGATGACTAAGTTGAAGGGATTTTAAAGCTTATTGCCAAATGGCTTTCCAAAAGAACTGTATCATTTTTTTTAATTACTTAAGGAGCCATTAATAATTCTGTGACCTAGTAAATCTTGGCAAATATGTTTAAAGCATCTCCCAGCTAGTGAAATCTACTCGATCAGTGAGACATTTAATATGCACCACAAGAATCAGGAGTTTTTTTATAATTTCAGAATATTACAAGAGTATAAGCATTTTGGTTACATGAATTGCTTTTGTACAGTGTGAGTTAAAGTTATAAGTGTGTCTATCACCCAGACAGTGTGTATACGTTAGGAGTCAATTTACCTATCCCCTCTTCCAGGAATTCAGTTTTT